GCTGAAACTCCGCGGTAAGATCCACCAAAAGATGGTTCACGAGAAACATCGACCTGGCCATGTTCGGTAGCGATGAAGCGAGCGTGTGAATTGAACACTTGCCCGCTATCTCCAACAACTCGTGCCCACAGTGTAATCTTCTGTAGTGGTTTCAGTCGAAATACGTTAATTTTAGTTATTTTGTCGATAAGTGAGAATTTTGGCCACAAAGTAATCATCTTATTTGAAATTAACGACAATAATACCTACTGAGTTAACAGCTTTTGACGTATATGATTTCTCCCTCATCGTCCCAGAAGAATTTATTCCTTTGGCTGAATAAGTCATTAACATTCTTAACAGTGACGCATTGTTTCCGCAACGGAGGACAGTTATTTGACCCTTTGTCAAGGGGAGTTTACACCTAAAAGAGACTACTAAAAAGAGACAAATAAGAGAGACAACTTGAGCCATAAATTCCAGGTTCAAAGGTCAAATTTTGCATGTCACGTCACTCATAACATATCATGAAGGATCCAAGAGGGTGGCAAAGGAGGGGGTTCCAATCACACATCGCACTGGATTTTCTATTCAAATCATGCATCACGGATAATTTTTTAACCAATCACGCGTCGCGTAAAAAAGGAGTAAGTACGCTCAGCTAATACTGTAAGATTTCAACCTATCGGATTTATTATTAAATGTTATATTGCATCCTACATTTTTATCCTTGAATGAACTGCCTTTCACTTGTCATATTGCTTTTTGTTAAACAAATAAAGACGACTTACTTGTTGAAACTAGACGCTCCGAGAGCATTTACTCGGGCTTCGTATATCAGATCGCACTTTACAAGTAACGAACTCAGTAAAACAAATTAAAGAATCAAGATATTTAACACAAGAGTTAAGCTTACGTATTTACTATTCAAATGGCTTTGTCGAGTATCCTCTTCATCCGATAGCTTGTTGTTTGCCTCACCCTCGATGTTCTGTTCACGAAGATTTTTGATTTTTTCAATTCAACATCTGAGGTGTTCGTCTGGGCATCATAGTCATCATAGTTTGTTGTTTAATAAGTCAGTAGTCGTAGCTTTGACAATTTTTTCGTAGTTTGAATTCATATATGGCTCATTAATTATCTCACGAGAACTAGTATGAACTTTGCTAATTTCAATTTGCGGCCACTCGTGGCTCTATGAGTCTAAGAGCATACGAATTGAGTGGACGTCTATGTCACCATTACTATTCTTTGATACACGGGCAATATTGATGTCAAAGTTTTGCCCAATCCCCTTCAGTATGGCAACTGTCTTTATGTCAGTAAAGGATATAACGTGGCTTCTGAATTCGTTTTGGTCTTTATGACGACCTTGGAATAATTATGTGTACCACTAAGTACAAAAAATTTCACTTGTGTAGTGGCTCATTACTTACATTACCATCTTCTCGAACGGCATGAAATGACACCAACACTCTAGCGTCTTTAACCGTTTCAGCCGTTTGGGTCGTTTGGGTCGACATTCTTTCAGATCTTTCATTCGATGTATTCGGATACTCTCTGCTCTTTCTGGATACGATCTGACGCAATACCACGACTAGCGGCTGAAGGTCATAATCCGGACCACGAGTCCTTGTGCAAATGTTAACTTATACCTTTTGTGTTACGATTGTTTGGACCAACCACGAAGATCAAAGACATCATAGGGTCAAGCATAGGTCAGCAAAGGACGGAAAAGACCAGAAAACGGTGTCACGACTGCCACGGTTTATTGATCCTTGTTAAGACCCTATTTACTTTAAATGATTGATATCCTTCTGGGCCAAAGAGCGTTCATTTATCATGGAAATCTAATTGGTAAGTCTTGTAAATAACGCGTCACGCGCTTGTAAAATCATCACCATGTGATGTCCGGTCCGGCCTCACGCAGATAATTTGGGTTCAATAACGCGTCACCCAGCAAATTTTGGGGCCATCACGCGTCACGTCAAAACCATTTGCAACCCTCATTCAAATTTCTAAAATGGCACTTGATCCAAAAAGCGAGCTTTTTTACACCGATGTTATTCTTCGCAGAAAGGCATGAAGAGCTTTGCCTACCGAAAACTCTATGCAAATTAGGCTGAGTACATTGTAGGGCATACAATTTTTGTTCCGCTTGATAAA